TCCTTTTCGAGGCAAGAGAGTCATGCTTTGGCGTCACTATATTTCTGAATGCCCAGGCATAGGCAACCCTTTGATTGTTTGTAATAGCTTATACGTTAATTCTCTTGCGGCTGTTTATGGTGTTGTTAGCCACTTCTTCACATCCAGCGTCTTGGCAGTTTTCTCTTGATGACAATTCTATAGTTACTGAGGTCGTGCATGCAAGATGGCGGTTGTGCAGTATTGTATCCAAAATGCAAATCTATAGCTGCAGACAGCAAGTAGATATTGAAACCGAGACATCGCAATGTGAATAGCCCAGCAATACTTTCTACTTAGAGTTATTGTGCTTATAGCACTTGCAAATGTACACACAGCATGGCTTGTTTCGCTGATGAGATGGTTCTACTAAAAACTGCAAACAAGCGGATGCTTGCACGTGACTATCATACAACATTGGGGTCTCTTGTATATTGATACAAAACTAATTTTTGTTTCTACTTTCTTTACTGTTGAATGATTTTGGCTCATACTTGCTTTACTGTTCATTGGAGTATCTCATTCAAATCGATATTTCTTATTTTCTTTAATATTGAAGTGGATTGGCTCAAATCAACATTGCTTGTTTCTTTTTAACTACTCATTATTGACTTCAAAATCATGACTCCCCTACGATGCGATTCAATATCTGATGTGATCTCGATATGCAAACTTTGATTTCATAGCTCTACGAATCTTCCATTATGTTTATTGTTTTACCTTCAAGATCACCTAATATCATCGCGCGCAAGGTCAGCTAATGGAGTCCTCGCCATATATGATAAAATCACGTACACACTGACTAGATCTCTGATCCACGTGACTAGGTCCGTATCGAGTAGAAGAGGTCCACGGTTTTACAAGCTAGCTACGCCGTATCAAAAGCAGCCTGTTTCACGAACGTTCTCCAATGAATCGAAGAACGCAGCACCCTCAATTTGGTCTCCTACTTATCTCCGCTACAAATCAATATGGGCCGGACACGACCAGCGACACCCGCCGGCTGACGAACCCTCAGCCGCACGCTGGATGTATATATCATCTTTTTTTACTGGAAACAACGTAAGCACATACAAACCATATTTAAGCGCACTATGTCTTTGAAACTTATTATTATTTCTTCGGGTTGGATTGCAGCGAACTTCTGCGGCGGTTCAGCTTCATATTCGGCCCGTCGGTTCTTCTGGCTGCAAATCCTAAAGTAGCTAGGAGGTCCGGGTGTTTACAACCCACGCGGCTCCAGGACCAGCTCCATTATTGAGGCACGCACGACCCCTGCGCTATTTACGAACCAGACATGCCATTGTCTAGCCGAGCCCTCGAGATGCAAACCCTCGCCACAAATTCTTCACAGCGCCACTTTCAGAGCCCGCGTGGCTCACAGCTGGATCCCTAATCCGACGAAATCCAAAATTCGCCAGTCGTGCGGCTCTGGTCGCAGTAGCATACCGGAATCCGGAGATGCGTCACGTGACGCGCCGGTCCATCGGCTTTGGGTATAAGCACCAGGCATTCTAGTCACACAGCAGCCCTGAAAAGCCGGTTTTTTCTCCCCCACACATGTGTCCTCCGGGCCATGGCGCCAATTTCTCAGACACCAGACCTGGGCACAGGTCGGCAGAGCGTGCCGACAAAATTGCCGGGCTCGGCATCCTCTCTATAGACCCGGCGTTAGCACGCCAAAGAGCGTACACCATAGACAGCCTCAACATCAGCCCGATCGAGAATTCCGGGCTCGCACGGCAGTTGCCTGATTTGGGCGAAACTGCGGCCGCAGGGCCCGGCAGCCGGAACGAGCCCACCGCGGATCCTGAGCACACGATGAACCTCGAGAAAGCAACCTGGGAGTTCTCGGACATTCTCCAGAGCATCTCCGGAAAAGACCGGGACGACCTCCCCGGGCTTCTCGAGAAATGCAATCGGCTCGTGCCGCTACTAGCCATTCATCCGTCGCTCAAGCAGGAAGTGGTGATCGAAAACGTGATGTTCAAAGTCCAGTTCATGCTCTACGACTCCCGCGCCCAGGCACGCGCCGCGGCGTACCGCGTCCTCCGCCACGCGCTGGCCACGCCTGACGCCTTGCTCCACCTCGTGCGGCTGAAACTCTTGATATTCATCATTGTGTCTCTTCTGACGCCAACGCCATTGGTGGAGAAGGAACAGGCCCTCAAACTCGTGCGGGAGTTCGTAAACATCCCCGGCGGCGTCAACTACTTGAGCGTGGGTGTTGTCAAGGCGTTGGTGGCCTACGTGGAGCACGAGAGCGACGATACTCAGCACGCGGGGTCTGAGGAATGGGGCTCGCACGAGTCAGAGGCGTTCATGCGCATGTGCATCGAGACCATCAGCGAGATTGCAGTTTTGAACCCAGACATTGTGTTTCACGGTGGCGGGCTCCGGCTCCTTATCAGCTTGACCATCAACGGAGCCACGGATATTTCGGTGTCGTGCTTGCCCATGCTTCTCACCCTTCTTGACATGCCGCACTCTCGGCTATTTCTTCGAAACGGTGCTGACTTGGACTGCCTTATGTCTGTATTCACTTTGTTTGACGACGACGATGCCCAAGGCAAAGCGCTGCACCTGAAAAAGTACCACACCAAGGCCTTGAAGATGTCCTTCGTGCTCTCGTGCTTCTTGAAAACGTGGCTGGGCCTCATCTGCTTCTCCCGCGACAACTTCGACCCGGTCCGGATGTTGCTCAGCAATTTGAGGAAACGCAACTCGCGTCTTTGCAGCATTTTGCTTGACCTTCTACTAGACGTGCTCCGCATCAAAAGTTTGCCGTGGCTCGAGGACTCTGCAGTGGGCGACCTTTTGGCCCTGGCGCAGATGCCCCACAGCAACGCCAGTAGCCCGAAGTCGACTCCAGTGGTTTCTTTCGAGTTCCAGGAAATGGACCCCCGCAGCTTCGAGCATGGTGTCATATCGCACTATCAAGGATTGCTCTCGAAAGTCTTGATCAACTGTGGGCTCGTTCCCCTTCTCTTCAACATTGTCAACGAGGACAGAGATACGGCCAACACAACCAAGGCCACCACGTTGCTAACCAACATCCTTGACTTGTGCTCAAAATATTTACCCCTGGAGTTCTACAGCACGCACATTTTGCAAGCTTACACCACTAATCTAAGCCTTGCTTCGCTAAGCAAAATCGAGGCTGCAACGCGCATGCGCCAGCGCCCGAATACTACCAAGAAGACTGCTGACGTACGTCTTGCTATGCGTGACTTGGTCCAAAAACTGCGTATCAATATGAAAGATGATTCATTCAAGGCGCTAATTGCCGGGTCAAAGCTTCTCACAATGAAGGAGTTCGACGACTGGAACTGGTCGCTCCTCTTGCAGATTTTTCAAGGCCCGCTTCGCCTTTCCTCGCGTTTCTGCGAGCTACAGGAGAAATATCCAAAGTTCCTCAAAACTATGCTCTCTTTCTTGCGCCCGTTCAAATATCGCTTCAGCTCCTTACCCGTGAGTGCAAGTTCCAAGTACCCCAAGATTCGCAAGCCTAAGCAAATAATGCTTGTGGCGTGTCAGCTTATCGAAGCCCTTCTAAACACAGAGGAAGGCAGCAAGGTTTTGGCAACCAACAAGCTCATGCCGCAACTCGCGGAGATTTTTGCGCAGGTGGACCCATACAGTGGCATCAGCAGTGCAGATCCAATTTTGGCCAAGCGCAGATTAGAGTATTCGCTATCGGTGGGGTATGTGAAGATAGTGGGTGTGATGTCCGCCCACCCTAGGGGAATCGAAATTTTGGGCCAATGGCAGTTGTTCCACATGATGAGCAATATCATTGACAGCAGCATCAAAGATGAAGCCAACAACTTTCTCATTTTCAACATCTTACAGAACCTAAACTATACGCGCAAAGGCCACGCTCGACTTATCCTCGCTAAGGCGCTTAGTATATCCAACTGGAAAGTGAAGGTGTATGCACTAGAGAATGTATTTCCTTTGCTTTGTGCCCTTGAAGGGTGTGAGCAGCTATATGTTCTCAGCTTGGTCAATCTTCTTCACGACGAGAACGACTCTGTTACGAGCATGTCGGTTGAGTACTTATACGAGTACTTTATTGTTAAAAATAAGCGTGAACTCATCGATGTTCTTGTGGAGTGCAAACCCAGCATCATGGTTCTTGAACAAAGTGAACATGGCCATGTACTCCTCTTGACGTTTTGCACGACGTCGAAGGGTTTCAAATACCTCGAGGAAAATGGGTATATCGAGGAAAAGTTCACACAAAGCCTCGAGCAACTCAAAGGGCTTGATTTTTTGACAGCTGTGGAGGATTCGCTCCGACACCTTTTGTTCCCGTATGTGTCATCATTCTCAGAAGCAAAAGTCAGGGTGGGCCCTTCATTGCACCATTTCTTCCACTACTTGCTAGCCACAGAAGAAGGTTTTACTTACTTCAATTCTCGCAGGTCGTACATTGACGAGGCAGTGGCGAATATTAGAAGTCTTTGTCAATTGCTAAACATTGTCAAAGGCATTGATGACGCTCACGAATATGATGGCGGAAGAGTCCCCACTGATCTGACAGGTACTAGAGTTCGACATGGGTCCTTAACCTCGGAAGACAGTCCTCTCGAACTAGCAATCTCGTCGAAAGATTTGAAGCACTGGCCGTCTTCGGCTAACTGGGAGAGATCAACCGAGTCGATATTTGAAATTGGCTCTTCTGGAAGCAAGGCCATATCTTCTCCCGCAGAGACCAGTACACATGACGACGAATATTTGTTGAAAAGACTCAAGCAGTACATTTGGATGGTTGGCGAGATTGCATCATCTAATTACGGTATACAAATTTTGGAGCCCGTCTACAGCTCCACTCCAGGGGGCGCGCATATAGCAGAGACTCTATCGCTCATCTTCGAAGAGGCCAGTCACTGGCAGCTTCGTGGGTTGGCATTTTTTCAGCTTGGAAAAATGGCTGGGACGGTCGAAGGCGTGGAGATCTTAGATGACTTGCAGTGGATTTCGTTTGACTCTGGTGAGAAATTCAATGTTTCTCTCGCGTATCCAAAATTCATGCAGGGCGAAGGATTCACCAAAGTGGAGATTTTGAATCCTTATAAAGACGTCAGCTATTACTCGCTATTTGGGAACGACACGGAAATGCACGTGAGCGGAAATCTTGATTTGGAGGACGAAATAGTCATCGAAAGCTACGAGGAGATCGACGACAAGATCTTAACTCTTTTCAACTATCTAAGCTCAGTTTTGGGTCGCATTGAGCGAAAGGCAACAAAGGAGCTTCTCCGAATTAAGACAGAAAGCCCGCAAGTATTCAGCAATACCAACTTATTCTTGAAAACAATCCGGCTAGTCGACAAGGGCAAGTTTAAGTATCGCACGAGGATGTTCATTTTTGACTTGTTTCATCCCATGAAGATCTTGGAGGGACTTGTGAAGAAAGATAGGAAAACTTCGAGCGTGAAGAGACTAGCTGTGTGACGCTGGAACGTCATAGACATACAAATTTAAGCTCGGCGCTCAAATAGTGTTCGCTGTTGAAAATAGAACCAAAAACGGAGAAGGAAGATATTAGAAACGGTTGGAGACAACGACCCGGGATCTGATCACGATCTCTTTTTGCGCTTCGAGCCAATGGGTAAGGGATCCAGGTATTCGCGCACACCTTTTGGCGTGACCTCGGCAGGCGTGAACTTCGACATGATCAAATGCAGAAGATTGCGCCGGATCCACATTTCTGTGTTCTGCGGATTAATTTCCACGGCGTCCAGCTCGTCGTTGGCTATTTCCGGAATCAGCTCCTCCACGACAAGATTGACAGCATAAGATCGCTTGAGCGGGATCTGTGCCGGGCTATCCGTGCCAGCGGCAAGCTGAAGCACTGGATTGAGAGTAGAGGCAAGCTCGGGGCGCCATGTGATAAGCAGCGTCAAACGGGAATGATCGATTTCTAAGGGCTGGTCGACGTCGGCGGACTCGGTGCCCTCCATATCCTGAAGCACGTCTAGAAGCGCGTTTACGCGTCTCTTATAATGGTACAATGCCTGCCGCTGAGTTTTTTCCGTGACAAAGAGTTTCTGGGACAAAGAGTATGCCCTGCTGAACCGTTCCTGCAACTGCTCATAGATCAGGTTGTGGTCGATAAAGCCATCGGCAGTTTTGGCCAAATCAACAGAGTCTTCGGAAAACTCAGCCGGTTCTTCTGTATGTGCCAAGGCGTCCTGGCCGGGCAGCCCAACTGGGCTCAGTTCCGTCTCATTGCCTGGTTTCGACCGGGCGGCGATAGAGCTCAGAGATGAAATCTGTGGTGCTCCTTGTATCGTGTCACTAGGCTCTGCAGTTGCGGGGCATCCATCGGCAAGGATTTCTTGCATGCTCATTTTCTTGAACAAGCTTCAATTCTCAAAGCGTAAAAATAGACCGGCTAGTGGGCAGGCAAAAATATTCTGACAGACTATCTGGTTTTGAGAAGACAAGTTTCAGTGAGGCCCTAGAAAGTGGCGCGCATAGCGCCTTGCGGGCGCCATTTCAGTATCAGATTTCTCAATTCAACTATGTACAGTACTTCGGGTCCCTTGAATACTACTATGCTCTAGAAG